AATTGAGGTCAAGGTCAAGTAAAACCTGCCAGACTGACATGTACATCGTAAAATATTTCCATACACCAAATATTGCTGACCTACTGCAAACAGTATTAGAAAAACAGACCAAAACACAAAAACTGAACATTGAGCAATGAACCGTGAAAATGAGGTCAAGGTCAAATGATACCTGCCAGACTGACATGTACATCGTAAAATATTTTCATACACCAAATATAGTTGACCTACTGCATACAGTATTAGAAAAACAGACCAAAACACAAAAACTTAATATTGAGCAATGAACTGTGAAAATGAGGTGAAGGTCAAATAAAACCTGCCAGACTGACATGTACATCGTAAAATATTTCCATACACCACTGTACTGGCAGGTATTTGCATACAGTTTTAGAAAAACAGACCAAAACACAAAAACTTAACATTGAGTAATGAACCATTGAAATTGAGGTCAAGGTCAAGTAAAACCTGCCAGACTGACATGTACATCGTAAAATATTTCCATACACCACTGTACTGGCAGGTATTTGCATACAGTTTTAGAAAAACAGACCAAAACACAAAAACTAAACTATGACCACTGAACCATGAAATTGAGGCCAAGGTCAGATGACACCTACCAGCTGGACATGTACACCTTACAATCATTCCATACACCAAATATAGTAGACCTATTGCTTATAGTATCTTAGATATGGACTTGAAAACTTAACCTTGTTCACTGACCTATGAAATGAGGTCGAGGTCAAGTGAAAACTGTCTGACAGGCATGAGGATCTTGCAAGGTAAACACATACCAAATATAGTTATCCTATTACTCATAATAAGAGAGAAATTAACATTACAAAAAATCTTAACTTTTTTTTCAAGTAATCACTGAACCATGAAAATGAGGTCAAGGACAATGGACAAATGACAGACGGAAACTTCATATCATAAGGCATCTATATACAAAGTATGAAGCATCCAGGTCTTCTACCTTCTGAAATATTAAGCTTTTAAGAATTTAGTTTACACCGCCGCCGCCGGATCACTATCCCTATGTCGAGCTTTCTAAGACAAAAGTCGCAGGCTCGACAAAAATTATAAATGGCAGTAAGAGAACTAGTTTATATACTTTGCCATCAAGATTCACATGAACCATAATATTATATGGTCTATTCACCAGAAACCTAGTCTTTGTCAAAAGACAAATATACGAAAAGATTTTATAATGGTATCCATATCAATTTACAACAGAATTATAAAAAAAAATGCTCATATTATAATTTGTTAGAATCCTTAGTTGAGAAGTTCTAAGTTTTAACAAATACACTAAGGGAGCTACCATTTGATTTTTATGGGGGGGCTAGGATGAAAAATTTTGTCCTGCCTTTTTATTTTTCCCTCTATTCGGTCCTGCCTTTTCTTTTTTAGTTTATCCTGACTTTTTTTTTACATAAATTGTCATCCTGCCTTTTTTTTTGTGCAAATAATCTCATCCTGGCTTTTTTCTTTACTTATTACTCCTATCCTGCCTATTTTTTTTCAAATTTCATCCTAGCCCCCCCCCCCCCCCCCCCCCCCCCCCCCCCCCATAAAAATCAAATGGTAGCTCCCTTAACAAACCATTCAAATCATTATTTAGACAATAACAATTAATTTGTCCAGGCAAAAACTCCCCCTTTCATTACCTTTCTTGAATTTAGATGGCTATATACATAGGAAAATATCACATAAACCTAATTTGACATATATTTTCTAAAGTTCACATCATCATAAACAAGTTTCAAGTTGATGTGACTGGAAAACATAATGACATCTGAAGGTCAACATACCCATAGCAACAATAGACAAATGTTTGGACTTAATATAAAAACAAGAATGTGTCCATAGCACACGGATGCCCCACTTGTACTATCATTTTCTATGTTCAGTGGACCGTGAAATTGGGGTCAAAACTTAATTTGGCATTAAAATTAGAAAGATCATATCATTGGGAACACGTGTACTAAGTTAAGTTGATTGGACTTCAACTTAATCTACATCTACCTTGACCAAAAACTTTAACCTGAAGCGGGACAGACGAACGAATGGACAGATGAACGAACGGACGAACGAACAGACCGAAAAACATAATGCCCCTCTACTATGGTAGGTGGGGCATAATAAGAAGATGTGGTATGACTGCCAATGAGACAACTCTCCACCAGAGAACAAATGATGAAGTTAACAACTACAGATAACTGTTAAGTCTAACACACATAAGTTTCATGTATGTAAATAATATAGTTAACTTGTAAAAAAAAAATGTATAGGAAAAGATAATTTCAACCTTTTAATTTAATTGACCTTAAAAAACAATTCGGAAATTCATTCTTAGTAAATATTTAGTTAATCTACACAAGTACAAAAGATATGTACATACAATGTTTGTATAGTGTAACTATATACAACAGATCATGATAAAAAAAAATATGTACATCATTTACATGTGAAAAAGATACATTGCACTTATCAAGACCTATTAAACTCAGCGGGTATGTGAGAGTGTCTGTATCCACTGTGTAGCATCACCACCAGATATCATATAGGTACCCCTGAAGCGATGAAAACAAGTGAAACTGCGAGCTACTGCTCACTGATGATGCCCCCACAGCCCAGCCCAAATGTAAGTGTTCGGTAAACAGGAAGTTGTTGAGTGATGAATCTGAAAACGTATCACACAGTATAGCTGATTCATATAAACCCTGAAACAAAATTTCAGAAATCCTTGTAATGCAGTTCCTGAGATAAATGTGACAAAAATTTTCAGCTACTTGGATGTCATGTGTAAAATGATGTAAGTGTTCGGTAAACAGGAAAGTGTTGAGTGATGAATCTGAAAACGCATCACACGGTATAGCTGAAACCAAATTTCAGAAATCCTTATGATGTAGTTCTTGAGAAAGATGCGATGAAAAATATTCATGGGACGGACGGACGGACAGACAGAGGTAAAACAGTATATCCCCACTTTTTTAAAGCAGGGGTATAAAAACAAATGTGGTCAGGTTAGGTCAAATTCTTCCTATTTTCATTATATTTTACGTTTTGCTGACTAGTAAAGTTTTGTGATACATGTACTGATTCCTAATAATGTAGCTACTATTTAGGGCTGATTATGATCCTTAACTGTCTTTCTCTCTCTTCAAATCATCAGAATCAGACCTGGTGGGTACCTGTTCAAAGTAGCATGTAACCAGTTCAAATTGTTAAAACACATTTATCCTTGAAACTATTCATTTGACGTTTTCATGAAACAAAGCTATATCATATTTAAGCTTGAACAACACTGTTTTTTTAAATAAAGTATTGTTTTCAGACCCATTCATGTAAATCAAGCGGATTAATTATACGGTGAATAGAAAAGAATAGTTACTTTTTGCTATCATTGTTTCTTTGCTTTGGGAGTACCTATATCCAGTGGTTATGCTACACAGTGGTATCTTTTCATAAAATGTAGCTGAATATACATGGTGATGACGATACATTTTTATGAAAAGTTTACCATTTATTTATGGAGCGATCAGTCTTAATTTAACATGTATCAAAGTTTACCTTTAAAGTTGTAAAGTTTGAACTATTAAAGAATGATTTTCAGTCATATAAAAAAACATGACAAGTTCAGATCTAACATTAAATAAAACATGGATTTTTACGTGAATCTGAACACCTAACAAAGTCATATTTCAGTAAAATTTTGATGATTTGAATTTATAATTACAGACACGAGTTTCAAGATTTAATGTATTCTTATCCATTAACAGATTGAAAATACATAAACAATTTATATTATAGTTATCTCTATAAGACAAAGATATTGAGAACAATGAATAAATTTCAAATAACACCCCAAAATTTAACAAAACAGACAATTATAAAATGTCAAACAAAATAAAATCATTCAGTTTTCTAGCCTCTTACTTTTGATAACGGTTGTTATTGATTTCAAAATTATACTTTACATTCATATCACATAAAAAAAATCCAAACATTTATAATATAAACATGATAAACATGATAAACATGATAAACATTCCAATCATCATTTAAATTAACACAATTCTTACAGCAGTTTTGATGGGTGATCAAGCCCTGAATACCAATTGCATATAGTTCATTCCCTTTTACCTAAATCTCTTTCTTCAAATCAAATAAACTCCCCCCCCCAAAAAAAACAAAAAAAAAACAAAAAGATTTAAAGGGACATTAGCTACAAGATATCAAATATGATTTTTTTTGTTCAAACATTAATGAAAGTGAAATAGTAAAATAATAGTTTGCTTTTAGCAGCCAGTTTGGTTCAATTTTATCAAAAATAAACTAAGAAACATCGCTGATGAACTATTCACTTGCAAGTTAATAATTCGACCTCTTTGAATCCATATTCATGTGACCTTCAATTCAACCCCTTAGCTACAGATGGGTTATGCATAAACTAGGCGTGTTCAGCTATTTAAAGGAAAAGAATGTCAACATTGAAAGCAAAACAAGAGAAAACCAATCTAAATTTGATTGACTGATTTTATCCACAAAAACTCATTCTGATACAGGTAAAATCAATGATTAACATATTCTTTTAACCTTTAATATGAAATCAAACAGACCTAGAAAAATCCAATTGCTCGTGTTCGCCATGACAGTCAGCAGTCTTCGAAGGTCACCTCTATGGTAAATTAGATTGTGTCTAGACTAAAATACACATGAAATGCTGATACATATTATCGAGTCCATGCATTATAAATTGTTTATTTTTGACTTTTTATAATTTGGATATATATGTTTTAGTACGGTATGTTATAAATAGAATATGGAAATTTGAGTCAAATTGGTGAACATGAATTTGACAGCTAATGCCCCTTTAAAATACTGAATTCAGCCCTATTTTTCAAAATAACTTGAGCTTTCTCTCAATAATGAACATATACATGATATATGTGATGAATTCAATTTAGAATTCACAATGATGTAAGATACTGTTAATTCAGAAATTTTAATAGTATGTTTAAATAAACAACAGACCAGGTATCAGAAAAAATAAAAACTTGCATTTTGAATTTTGATTGCATTATTGTATACACCATTTCCTGAAATCACAATAATTAATCACAAACTTTTGTCCATTGCACAACAATTACAAAAATAAATTGATGCAATAATTTGTGAATTTACTGTATTATATATTTCATTTATGTACATGTTGTATTTCTAAACTAAATAAAGAATCACAAAGAACAAGTTAAGTCTGACAACCTTCGACCTTTGCAGCTGTGTTTTCTATTTTAGATTCTTTCAAGTCCTGTTTTGATTCTTCTCCTGATTTTGATATTTCTTCACCAGACTCTGTATTTGTTTCTTCTTGAACTTTGTTGTCTGTACTGGCTTCTGCCACATCAACTATTTCACTACTAACCTTTTCAGCATCAACTTCATCTGATTTTACCGATTGCACATCTGATTTCACTGATTGCACATCTGATTTTACTGATTCCACATCTGATTTTTCGGATTGCACATCTGATTTTACCGATTCAACATCTGATTTTTCGGATTGCACATCTAATTTCACTGACTGCTCATAAGATTTTACTATTTGCATTTTTTCATCCTCTGAAGACTGCTCGTTTCCTTTCATATCATTTTCTTCATCCTTATTAACAGAGGAATCGACCTCTTCCATATCAGTATATTTCACTTCCTCATTTGCAGTAGATTCAGTTTTCTTATTTTCTTCACTACTTTCCTTTTCTGGTGGTTCCTTTATCTCAGTATTTTTTTCATCTTTCGAAAATGTTTCAATCTCTGATGAGTCACTTTGAAATTTTTCAGACTTTTCACACGACGGTTTTTCATCTATTTTGTTGTTTTCTGTAGATTGTGGATTTTGTGGAGATTCCTCAATAGCATTTTCCTCCATTTTTTCTTTTTCTTTTTCCATCTTAGAATCAGAGTTTTTATTTACATTACTATCTAAGGGAGACAACTCTTCATTGTTATCCTTCAATGAATTTGCATCTTGATCTATTGAATCATCTGTACTCAGACGGGTATATTTGCGAAGTGGAGGACTAAATTTACGAAGGCCTCCTCTGCCTCGCTTCCCTCTTGAGAACTTTGTAGCTCTTGCCTCCTCAAGTGTGGCCATCATTAAAGCCACATTTGCATTCATTTTGGTCCATGTGGGTGATACAACATTTCTCTGTGGTGGTTCATTATTATCCTCATAATCAGAAACACTACGAAGTTCTTCTTCCAAGTCATCTAAATTATCATCAATAGACTTGTTCATAGAATCAGATTGTAGTTTAGACTGTTCAGATGCTTCTGAAGTTGACATCAGAGTCAAATCATCTCCCTTTGTTTCCATAACAACACTTTCTTCACTGATTGCTCGTTTTCTTTTACGTGTTAATATAGCCTCATTATCAGTGGACTCTGATTCCAGGGAGGTGCTTGCAACAGGAGGACCAGAACTAGATCTTGCTCTACTAGCAGGCAGACTTTCAGTGACTGATGATTCAGATTTTTCCGACTTGCTGTTTGCAGATTCACTTGCCTGACCATCCTCTGCAATGCTTTTCCTTACAGATTTTCTCAATGTTCTGGGACCTGTATCAGAAAGTTTTTCTGACTTCTTTTCTGCAATAGTTTTCTTTTTCATTGTAGATTTCTTTTTTCTGTTACGAACATCTGACGCTTCCTTATTCAAGTCTATGATAAATGAAGACAATGGAGACGAGCTGGCAATGAGTTTTTCTGCATGTCGTCTTTTTATATGAGAGTTGCACTCTGACCTGTTAAATCCAGTGTAGGCACAAAGCCTACATTTATACCTCTTCCATCCAAGATGCCGGACTGCATGTCTACGTAGACTAGAAATATCTGTAAGTTCAAGTCCACACTGTAGACATTTGTTATTTTTGTAATCCACCAAATGATTTATTCGGCTAAAATCTAGACATTTTGATTTGTCTGAATCAGTGTCGGCTGAATCAACTACATACATCCTTCCAGCTTTTGACTTTTTGGGTGAGTCTATAATCGTCTTTTTACATTTGACACTCTGTAATGGTTGACCTATTTCTTTGCTGACCCATATTTCCTCTATGATCTTTACTCCTTCCATATCTGAAGCTATCCTTGGTCTGTGGGAGTATACGGTCACATCACTTGATTTAGCTTCATCGCTAGTACCAACATTCTCTTCCTTTACACTTTTGCTTTCTGATGACTTTGTAGATATTTTTTCAGCTTCAACAGTCTTTGTTTTTACTTCTGTAGATGTTTGATTTTTACCAACTGATTTCCGTTTATCAGATTTTTCAGGTGCTTCAATTTTACCTTTCTGACTAGAAGCTGGAGAAGTTTTAACTGTCTTCATCTTTTTATCAGTGACTGGAGACATTTTAACTTCCTCTGTAAGTTTCCCTTTTATGCTTTTCTCCCCATCTTTTGGATTGCATTTTTTATCTGAATTTGGTGGAGTTTGACTTTTGCCTACAGGCCTCTGTTCACTAATATTATCTTTACTTTTATCAGAATTTTTAGATTTTCCCACTTCAACTGAGTCCTGAGATTTAGAATCATCATCATTTTTCTTTGCAGAGATCCTAGTGGAGTACCTCTTTTTTAATTCACCAATTTTCTTGGCTGTCTGTATGCTAGTCTTCATTGACCTTGTAGCATACCTGGCTTTTGCTTTCATTACTTTATGTTTTGTTACTCCTTTTAATTTTCCGTCATTTTTCGACACTTTCACTGTGTTCACACTAGTTCCACGCTTTGTCACACTCTTTGGAGTTTCCAAAGGATCAACAGGTTTTCTATCAGTCCAATTTTTAGTGGACCATTTAGGTTTTACTTTCTGCACTTGGCCTCCTTGCTTTGTGCCATCAACTTCATCCTTTCCTGGACTTTTCTTAGATGGTGCAACTTTACGGGATTGTTTCTCATCTTTAGGTGAATTTTTAGAAATTGGAGAAGATTTTTTGCCATCAGGCTTTTGTGTTGGTGAATTCTTGACATTTTTTCTATTCGACTTTTCACCAGGTTTGCTCTCGGCATCTTTTAAGGAAGATAATTTTAGTAACGTATCTTCTGATGTTTTTGTTTGTAGCAACTCTGAAGATTTATTTGCTGACTGATTTACAGCAAAGTCACTTGGTGATTTGATATTAGCTATGTTTTCATTTGTTGAATCTTGTGAATCCTTTATAGTAGACTGACGAGTGGAAAGACGAGATCCACTTTTTGTATCAGATTCTTTCTCATCTCTCTTTCCTATGACTTTCTCTGTAACCATTTTGCTTCTAGATGAACTTCTTGTACTTTGACATGATCGGACACTATCTACAGACAGTTCTCTAGATGTATCTCTTTGTGTTCTGGTGCTCTTCCTTGATCTAACACTATCAATAGATGAATCCCTTGATTGAGGCTGTTTCCTGTCTGATCTAACACCAGGTTTTTTTATGCCATCAGCTGAACCATCCCTGGATGGCGTGCTCATTGACCTTCTGGTAACTGAACGTGATCGTCCTGTCTCTGAATCAGACAGTTTTTTAACAGACCCCAATTTGTTACTTGGTGTTGCAGTACTTTCTTTTTTCACAGGAGATCCTGTTTTCTCTGTTGTGTTGTCGTCCTCTTTCATCCTGCCTTTTTCTATTGCTTGTAATAGATTACGTCTTGCAAGTTCCAGTTCTGACTTCTGTTCAGGAGATTGTTTAGTAGAAGACTCAGAACCTGATTCAGACATTTTTTCACATGCTTTCCTAGATTTACTTGGTGAATCTTTCTTTGGACTGGACACAACTGCTCTCCTTTTGTCATGGAACCGTGTCCTTTGGGCAGGTGAGTGATAAAACTCAGCTGATCTTCTTGTACTGATGAATCTCTGAGCAGGAACATATGTACGAGACTTTTCCTTCAGTTTTTTCACAAGTTTATTTTTGCTAGCATTTGATTTATTCTCGTTCATTTTTTCTTTCATTTCAGTTCTGTTAGTATCTGTTTCTTGCTCTACCTTTTCCTGCATCTTCTGCTGAAAATCCTTGGAAACAAATTTCCCACCAACCCTTACTCTGTGTACTGATGCCGCTTTTCTTCTGTCCACAAATTTTCCTCCATTATCACTAGCAACCTCTGATGTATTGTCACAAATGTCATCCTCAGAGTCTTTAGTGTCCCTACTTTCAGCCAACTTTTGGACAGTCTTTTTACGACGAGATGCTACTGATTCAGTCAAAGGTGACTGAGAATGTTCTTCTTTCGTAGGGGTCTTTTTTGTTACTTTTTTCTGCGATTGGTCAGCTGCCAAAAAACCACATTGTTTTGCATGCTCTTCATAGTTCTTCTTTTGCCAGAATGATTTATGACAACCCTCACAAGTATTCATTTTCACAATAGTTTTCATAACTTGCTTCCTACGTGCAGTTTTCATGGTACTTTGATTTTTGTCCATGGTGTGTTCAGAATCATCGATTTTACTTAGTTCATTAACTGTATATGCAAGACCCCGTAATTCAGGTCTCATTCGATCAACTTCCTCTTTAGATTTCTTGTGATTCAGCAAAAGGTGACGTGTCAGTCCCCAAAAATAGTCGAATTTTTTTTTGCACATACTACAAGGATATTTTCTCTTTGTGTCTGAATGAATTACATGCATGTGTTGGAGTAGTGTTTTCTTCTGTGTATATTGTAAGTTACAAATGAGGCACTTCAGTTTATCTAGGTCACAGTGACCTAGCTGACTAAGTTCAGACAATTCTGATCCATTTTGTGATTTGACAGGCCTTAAATCATTTGGTGATAAAGATATTTTTAATGTTTGAGATTTATCTGCTGATTTCCCAGTTTTGACGTTATCAGCAAAAGATGATGGATCATTTGACTTTTGTGACAATTTGTCCACAGCCGAGTCTCTTTTCTCAGAAATTTGTGCTTTATCTGACAACTGGGTCAAAACAACTTTTGCTGATTTCATTGGTTCTGTTTTTCCTGATTTCACAGTAGACAAAGTGTTATCTACTTTTTCTTTAAGTCCCTGTACTACAGTGCTATCTGCCTTAGTTTGTGTTTTGTTATTTTTACGTTTTGACTCCAAGACAGGTTTGACCACCGTCGCAACAGATTTATTCTGAACTTCACCAACACCAATACCATCTTTGGCAGTGTTCTTATCTATGATCTTTTTAGGTGATGAATTTGAAGATGTGGCAGATTTTTTCAGACCATCTACAATTTTTGTTAGAGCCTGTTTTCTTGATTTTTTTGCTTTTTCTAAAATATTTGTAGCATTGGATACCACGTCTTTCCCTGATGTAAGCGGTTTCTCAACAACATTAACATTGACTGCATTTTGTGTGTTTTTTATTGCACTGGTTACTACAGTGGAAGAAGATTGAATCATTTTTTGTTTTTCCACATGAGTGGCTGCTTCTGTATAGTGTTTATAAGCCTCGGAGCTACCTTGAAAAGAACCTGTCAGTATCTGTTCTAAGACAGTTTTTTCTCCTTCCTTTGGAATTATTTCCACAGGAACGGACAAGGACGGAGAAACTGGACGTACAATAACAATCTCCTCCTTTTTCTTAGGTTTCTTCTTGGGAGTGTTTTGAAAAAATGACTTATCTCCACAATAAATTCTTTTATGAGCAATGAAGTTAGGTATGGAGCGGAAAAGATTCTTGCAATGTTTACATTCAAATATGAAGTCACATGACTCCCGTAAAAGATGTCGAATTTCTGGAGATCCATAATGTACAGCATTCAGGATCTGGTCAAGTGTATTTCCTCCGGCTTCTATGGAATTACTGATCACTGAGAAATCAATGTTGTCAATGGGATCTTCATCATCACTTATGTCAGACATTTTCACAGATAATCTGGAAAGAAGATAGTAATATTAAATCCACATGTATTCAATTTTCTGGTTTTAATAAGCAATGCTTGGATCTCAGAATATCTAATGGCAGCATTTTGGAAAATTAAACATACACATCTATACATATCATGGTAAACTTGCAATGTCAAAGAATTTTTGACGATGTTCATTTGGTTTTTTTTTTCTCTCTTGCCTCTTTGTATTTGGGATGCTGTATATATCTATAAGAAAATGTCTCATAAAAAAAGTCAAAATACTTTAACATACTTGCCACCCGTTTGGTGCAATAAAGTAGGAGATCTCCACCTCTCTGACTCCACTAAGGGGAAGATTATGTGTCAAAATTTTGTATTTGCATTAAAAGTATTTTAATATTTAATAGACGGTATATGGTTTTTTTTTCGTGTTGTGTTTAATTTTCACTTTGTTCGCACCAGCTAGAGAAACGTGAAAATTTGTCTCCTGTAGATTTCACTACTTACTCCCAGATGTATTGTTGTTTCAAAGTTTCATTCAGTCAAGTCTTTATTGTTGTTCGGTAGACCACAAGAAAGAGTATACTTAATTAAGATCTCTGTTTTTATATAATTAAAATGACTAATTATACATAGAACACCTTTTGACAACACAGCAATCAGTGACAGGTTAAAAATTTAATTAGCGACGATCTATCTATTGATTAGTGTCATTCCCCCAACATTTTGCATATAATGTAAAACTAAAATAAAAATTAATCACATTTACACGGATATTTGTATTTCTGAACTATGCGCATTGGCAGTATTGGCAGGTATGCTTTAATAATTATAGTGGACAAAGCCAGATGTAAACCATGACATCTCAGATAAGGTTTGTCAGAGGATAGCTAGGTGGGAATAAAAATGCCAATTCAATAAATGAAAAATATAATAAATCTCATGTCGCTTTGAAAGTGGGCATGTATTGTTTTTATGTTTGTTGGTTTGTTTGTGCTTTGTACCCATCTATTGAGTTAAGCCATTTGTAACTGATTTTTAAAGTTTGTTCTTATTTTGTTCTGTAACACCACTGTCCCAGGTTAGTGGGAGGGTTGAGTACTCACAAACATTCTTTATGTGCCTGTTAAAAGTCAGTGGTTGTTTATGTTACATGTCTGCCATATTTGTTTTTTGAAAATGGTGTTGTATAAATTAGGCCGTTTGTTTTCTTCTTTGAATTGTTTCACATTTTTTTATTGTCAGGCCTAGTATAGTTTACTCTTCATTATGGGTTTTTCTCATTATTGAAGGCTGTACAGTGACCTATAATTGGTTACATCCATGTCATTTGAACTTTTGTGGATAGTTGTCTCATTGGCAATCATACTTATTCTTATAATGTAGGATTTGAATTGGTGCTCATTTTGTCAGTTATGGGCCTTTTATGGCTGACTATAAGGTATGGGTTTTGTCCATTATTGACTGCCGTACGGACCTGTATGGTGACATATAGAGGCTTACATCCACATCATCTGATCTTTGGGAGATACATGTAGTTGTCTCACTGGCAATCGTAACACATCTCCTTATTTTTATATTGCTTACATGTGAATCAGGAACAGCCCGATGAAAAGCACACATATACCATTTATATGATTGAAACCACATTTAGTGCTATTTAAGGTTAAAGTTGCAAAACACTGTAGATGTCACTGACAGTTTTACACGGCTATTGTGTTGGTAAATACTATAAAAATCATTACAATAATTAGTCGGCAAGTTTTTTAATGTCAATACTCACTGTTCACAACTTCTATTCAACCTTAAACTAAGACCTGTTCATTTCTTCTATTGCACATCCCTGTAGAGAAAATAAAAGTGCTCTGAATTAAACACTTTTTATTCATTTAAATATACTTGCATGAAACAGATATAGCAGTTTATTTATTGCCATTCTGGATAGTCAAACAGGTTGCAGAATATTTACCTTTCGTTTTCACCATGTAATAGTTTGATTTATTTTCTGGTTTTATCAATTAACATTGTTTCAATGACAAACAAATAAAATAAATTGCTTCCACTAGCACAGCTGGATACGACCGCAGAGGTCCAACCCTGAACAGTGGGGGCTTGATACAGGTCTGAATTTGGATTGTAATTAAATATTTGACACATAAAAGGTTTCTGACACAGAATAACTGTAGTCAAAGAACTTAGAATTGGTTATATGATTTGAATTTATATTCAATTTTTTGCTTTTGTGCTATACACTTTGCTGTTGTGAATTGACCCCTCCTCCCCCCACAAAAAAAAATAAAAAATTTACCCCCCCTTTTTTTTGCTTTTGAGCAATGCACTATGCTGTTGTGTATTAACTCCCCCCTCCCACATACACACACACACTTTTTTTTTTGCAAAAAAAATAATATTTGAAGAATTTTTCTTTTTATTTTCTGAAATCTGAAATGAGAAAAAAAATTGACCCTGCCCCCCCGCAACTTCTTTTTATCCCCCCCCCCCTTTTCCACCAAAAAAATTCTTTCCCTCAAGAGTCATAATCTCAATTCAAATTTCCAATGGAGTTTGCAACCATAATTACCCATTTAAATTTACCATAGTGCTAACTTAATCTATTTTATAATAGAATTTAAAATATGGTGTCAAATCTTTCATATGGATTTTTTTGTAAAAAAAAAAGATGCAACATTTGCAGATATTTTTACTGGTCTTCCTTATATAAATATGCATAATTTAAAAGCAGTGTAAGGGAGGTAATCAAAACGTTGTATTTAGATTACCTCCCTTACACTGCTTTTAAATTGTCTTTATTGTTCATTAACCATTACTTTATACATAATTTAAAAGCAGTGTAAGGGAGGTAATTCAAATGATTTATTTGAATTACCTCCCTTACACTGCTTTAAATTATGCTTTGTACTAAAGTATTTGTCCATTAACCAGGACACCGTTGTTTTTCCCCCTTTTTCCCCTAATTCCTAAGTGGTTTGAGCCATAACCCCTCAAAGCAAATCCTAACCATCCCTTTGTGGTATGGAAACTTGTGGTATAACTTCAGAGAGATCCATACACTGTTCCACAAGTTATTGTCTGGAAACTAGAAAAATGCTTATTTTTGGCCCTTAATTCCTTAACTGTTGGTACCATAACCCCCAAAATCAATCCCAACCTTCCTTTTGTGGTATTGAACCTTATGGTTAAATTTCATTGAGATCCATTCACTTAAACTAAAGTTATTGTGTGAAAACCAATGTGTCTTCGTACGACGACGACGACGACGCAAAGGTCATACCAATATACGACATTATTAATAAGTTATGTGTGGTTGATGATAAATCTGTTTTAGTCTCTGCTGTTTTTCATTCATGCTGGATTATATATCTATTTCTGAGCAATTCACATATATATACCATGTATACTTGGTATGACCAATTGTATTACTGAAATATGGAATGTATGCTGAGCACTAGATGTCTATTTTGGGGAGGATTATTATATTATTTGGTTAAATATTGCCTTTTTGATTTTTATCCTACATCTACATGTATTTATATAAGCTACAGTGGAATATCCAGGGGGGTTCTGGGGGATTGAATCCCCCTTTTTTGACGATCTCCCCCCCCCCCTTTATCCTGGGTTGCGAACCTCCTTTTAAAATGGCTGGATCCACCCCTGAGCTATGCATTATATTGAAGAAGGAGACGTTTTTTTGTGCATTAAATATGACTTTTGGTTGTATTTCTTCACAGATACATTCATTATCTTTTTTTAAATCTGATGGCTTTGAAATTACCCCAGTCTTCCAACTGTACAATTAGGAAAGGGCCTTTTGTAGACAACATACATGACATAAGAATTTATCAAACCTATACATTTTAACACTTGACTGAAACTTTTCAGGAACATGCATGTCTTAAAGATACTTAGATAGCTGTTTCATTGAGAGTTGCCCTACAGTTTCTGAACTCCTTTTATTTTGTAATTATACAATTTATATTTTACCTCTCCAGCTCTATTTTCCTTGATGATACCAACTTTCAATATCGGTTCTTATATATACTTTTATTCTGAAATTATAAAAGACAAACATTCATGTTTTATGTTTAATAGACAACTTTCCAGTTATGTCCTTCACCGGAAAAGTTCGTCAATTATCTTGATTATGTGCACCTTTGTGACGTCATTTTGTGAACATATTTGTTCCGCATAATACTTGTTCCCTCTGGAACAAAACTATGGATAATAAAAGTTCTTGGGAACAAACATTACATAATACTATTTCCACCTTCATATGATATTTTCCTGGAACTAAAACGTCATATGGTTTCATAATATTTGTTCCTTTAAAGAAAGAGTGTCATTTGATTTTTTACACCTGATTACATCTTAATTAATGTTCACCACACATGACATTTACCTGTACATGTAGTACATACAAAGAATGGAGTCTGAGGAATACAACAAAAATTGTGCATATTTAAAGGATGGCTCTTATTCTATACAAGGTAAGAATATATATTTTTTTTGCTCCACCATGACTTACTAAACTAAATGGTCCGTTAGTCTGTACCAATGAAGAAAGTTTAGCTTATACATAAGTCAAGCATGAAGTTAGCCACAAATTTCAAATGAAAATGCCTGTACTTTATTATTGGAAATTTACTTCCATACTAGAAACAATTTTGGATATTGTAGTATATATTCCTAGAACTTTGATCATATTATAAATATTTCTAGAACTTTAATTATCTAATAACCATGATAACTATTCCTGAATCATTTATAATATAGCCAATATTCCAATATGCCTGGAACTTTTATAATATAGCAAATATTCCTAGAACTTTTAAATATAACAAATATTCCTGGAACTTTTTATAATATAACAAATTCTCCTGGAACTTTTATTATATAAAACATTGTCCATAATATTTATTCCAAAGAACTTTTAGCATATAACAAAAGTTTTATTGGGAACTTTCCTTATGTAATATTTTATCCTTTGTGAAGGAATTTTCTTATAGCATTGGATAAAATCTTATATAAGGAAAGTTCCCAACAGAACTTTTGTTATATGCTAAAAGTTCTTTGGAACAAATTTTATGGGGGAACTTATATTCTGTCACAATTTACCAGACAGAGGGGATCCCCTATATCCTTGCACTATTAGGGTTAAAGTTGATCAAGGGTCTTCGTGATCGTCATTATGCAGGATAAACAAGAAATAATGTACATGTTTGTTCCGTATGTACTTAATTACAATTCCCTAATGACAGCATTGCTGATTTTCAATTATAAGACTATAATTAGAAGAATAATTCGTGCAATATAGCATCATACTTTTTCAACCTCTAGCTCAACATTGGAAGGAAGTGAAGATGCCCCAAAACGCATGAATGATGTTTACTAAAATCAAAGTTTTTGATGAAAATGCAACGAACTCGAAAGTTGTCTATTAGTTGACCACAGAAATGTTCCAATTGTCACAACCCTGCCTCTCTTCCTGGACAACCGTCTTTGTGGTCTTGTAGTAGTTTGCTTGCCTCTAGTCAGAATGTAGTTGGTTCAAACCCAGCCGGGTCAAACTAAGGTTTTGAAAATTGGTATTTGCTGCTTCTCCGAGAATCATGCAGCATTTAGTATGTTTAGGAGAAAGAGCAGACTGGTCGGCTAGGAGTCATAATAATGTGTCCCAGTAAGGTCTTCCTGTGGACTGTTACAATGTACTTTCTGAACTAGAATAATAATCTGACTTAGCCTGTCGGTCTAGAACAAAGCAGGGTTTATTTTCATATCCCCTTATCATGTTCTCGTCCTGAAAATGCATCTAATTATCACTGGATGTTAACAGCCATCCATCCATTCATCTGTTTTTTCCTAGATAGTGACATCACGGAATGTGACTGCATGTAATCATCATAATTTAGCCTGCCATGAGCAACACGATGAGGGACACTGGAGGAGCAGGAACTGCTTGACCTTCTAGAACACCTGAGTTCAACCCCATTTGTTATTTTTGTTGTTTTATAACTTTGTGTTGCTCAACTTTATGTTTTCAGTGTTGGGTGGACTGATGTCTTTTGCTTATCTAATTTTGTTTGGCAACTGTGGAAACTGAGTTGCTCAATGTTAAGTTTTCTTTGTAGTGTTTTGTGGACCATTGTTTGTCTGCTTGTCTTTTTCTTTTGGCCAGGATCATGATAGTGTTGGTATTTTTTTTTTCTTCAAATTGTGGTATTTGTTTTACCCATTGGTATTTACTCCCCTTTTCATCGCCTTGCCTACTCAATATAAACTGTTTTGTATGGTTTTCATTTACTTTCAAAATGAAATAGACAAAAGTACAAAGTTCATCGTGAATTGGTCAAGTTGGGAGAATTTTTTGACTGCCCATGAAACAACTATCAACCAGAGACCAAATGACGTAGATCTATGTAAGCAACAATACATGTAGGTCACTGTGATAACTATCAATATAAAATGCAGGTGTAAAAATTACTAAATTATTGAAATTCTCAATATTTTGGCAAAACCTGATTTACACAAAATGTTAATATATATTGCATGATTTTTATTGGAGAGGAAAAAAGCCCATATGGTCATGACTGCCAAAAAAAGTCCATTTATCAGTAAAATATGGAGAAAAAAAAATCAAAGTTTTTTATCCAGATAAAAGGTAAAAATAAATATTTCTACAAGTTATTTTATACATCTGTGGAAAAATAATTACAATTATATATACATGTACATGTAGAGAGCATACATGTACATACTTTGTTTTGGGTTACATATTATAAACTATTTCAAATCTAAATAGACACCAGTGACCTGCTTTAAAATATTTAAAAAGTAACTTATAAATCTAAAATTTAATAGAGCCTCCTTTTCAAAAAAAAACTTGTAGTGGTAATTTTAAAAAGTTACTAAAATGATTTAGCATGTAAAGTAACGACCCTGAATGTTTTATGTATGAACTTATTCAAGCAGAAATCGGACCTGGTTTTGAAAGGTTAAAAACCTGCAACAAGTTTATAAAACTTTCGATCCCTAGTCAAGACTGGGGTATAGAAATATGGTCAATTTTGGTCTTCTCAAGACCAACAGTAAAACCCTTGCCAAAGAGGAAAGTCAGTTTGGCTGTGCAGTATGTGTAAATTTGCAGCCATGTTTGGACAGAATAAGGGCTATAAATCTGCTGCCTCATGTAGAGAGAGACCACAATCCCTTGCAACACCTCTTTGAGTAGTCTGTAGGTGACCTGTTGCAAGGATGAATTTCTGTTCCCTATAATCCAATATACCCTCATTTTTCAGTGCCATTCCAAATTTCTTGCCTATCATCCCCCTTGACCTTCTATTGTATTTATTATTTTGTTCTTGTGCTGAATATTCATGAAATATTTGCAAATAGACATTAAATAAACAAACAACAATCAATCAATCCAGTCAAAAAACTTGTAAATATTTGTGATATCTCTTGAAGTTATTGCCTTTTCAGACATGCAAGAATTACAAGTATAGATATAATGACTTTTGTCATCTTCACGTTGAATTCAATTAAACTTTGTTTAGACATAGGACAATTGAGACTGGCCTGAAAGGTATTTGTATTTTATTTTGGTTTGGTTGCTATCTCATTGAGGAGCTAATATATATTTACATAGGTCCAAAGGATACATAGCTCAACATTTTTTTTTGTATTTAAGGTTCATATCAAGTAAAACTTCCACAGACACGTCAGATTACTTATCATATATATAAAGTGAGGGAACAAATGAATAAGGATTTTCTTATTTAAGAACATATTTAGATCAGAACTTCTATATTGGAGAATGCTAATGAGATTTTATGTTGGGAAAACTCTTAATTTTATATTTTTTTTCAATCAATTAAAAACCTTCAGTCAAAAAAAAGCAACCAGTACATCGGTTAAGTATATGTATCAATTATTGAAACTAGACAGTCACATTGGGTGTGTCATGAGAACAGAAGGTGTGAAGCTGTAGCTGATACTTTAGATGGCTTGTCACGGAATAGAAGTTCCTTCATAATTTAAGTTCCAAATGGAATCAATATTCTGGAATATCATTTCCACTGGAATAAATATTACAGTAAATGTTCCTAACGGAAAAAATGGTATAGAATATTTGTTCCAACAGGAACAGATATTATGACATTGTTTATAACAAAGTTTCCAGTGGAACTTCTGTTAGGCGGAACAAATATACGTTGACAGGCTTATATCTGACATCACTTCATTTAAATTTACCACTGTTTACTATACAGTAGTCTGGTGTATCCACACAACTGGGACTTGTGACTATTCTTTGGCAATCTCATAAAACCGATACAGTGGATAATATTTTGTGACCAAATTTACTTTAGTTTAGTTCTACACGGACACAGGGGATTCATTTGTCTATTAGGTTTGATACCAAGAACAACAAAGAATTCTCTTGGAACAGTAAACCATTAAAGTATATATGACTGTATCTATTAGATCAAAAGCACCAAGCTTAAAGTTACACCTACCACTACTGTTTCATGACTGGTTCAGGGTTAAAATAGTTTTGTTGGGTACACATCTGATTCTGACTCAGCAGCTCATTTAAGTTCAACTTTTTGTGAATATTCACAAACAGTATGTTATAAAATATAACAAAATTACTCACTTCATGATTTAGCTAGAAGGACTATTGAGTAGTGTGACAATAAATATGAGACGTGATCATTTTCCTCATGGCATTTTTTCCATGATGTGCCGACACAATTTGGTCACAAAAATAGGATTTGTTTACCATTCAAATTATATTCTGTATTGTTTATATGTAGATAATCTGAAGTAATAATGCACTACAATGCTACTTATCTTACCACAATTTTCATAAAATTCTATGAAATATCAAATATTTTGAATTTTTGGAGCGTACTAGTCTTTCTGAAAATCAGCCTGGTGACTTCTAGGTGGCGCAACGAACTATGGGGGAATAGACATCCGGGTACTTCCGTCAGGTCAACAAACTTGTAAACAGAAGGAAAATGCTTTTTGATTTGAGATTAAAGCCAGTGTTATATCGGTAAACATCTTATGAACCATTTATTATCCATGTAGACAACCTGTACGTTTTTCAAATCATTTCTAAAGTGAAAATTTCCATTAAATATTAATTTTGCTCATTTGGTTATCTCCCCTTCAACAGGTGCCCTGGTTTAATTTGACAGTTTTAGATGCCAGAGAAATGCCTGGCTACAGCATGATATTAAGATGGCCACATGTGATTGAAACTGTTTATAACACATCAATATAAATAAAGTTTGGCATCCAATGAAATGTTTTAATAAAAATAAATTTAAATCATTGTAAATACTGATTTTAACTGAATTTTACAGTCATGACAGTTAGGGGAAGATCCACATAAATTGGTATATTATATCCCTATAAATGGATATTATTCCCCCAAACCAATCTACAGTGATAAAACAAAAAAATGACCGTCATGGCAGTCAAACTTCTGTGTACATCAACATTTATTATGCCCAAAAGAAACCATGTTCAGCTGAGGTATAATCTGGATTTGCTCAAAATAATTATAATGTCTTGAACATGTTGAAAGGCTATATTAATTTTTGCTTTAAAAAAAATAATGCCTTTTAGGAATCTATAAAAATCAAAATCAAAAGTACACATATTTTATATCTACATTGCGTGGAGGTGTTATTCATACTATATTATCACTTCAAGCTATTTCAATAAGCTTTAATACTACAACAGTCCTTAACAACATTATGTTTGCTTTAAATGAATGTTCGAATCATACATATCGCTTATTCCAGCTACACATACAGCACAAATGTCAGTATCATTACTTTTCAAAATGAAACTAAATTTATTTTGTTCAGACATAATAACAAAAGATGGAACTATATCACTTAAATTACAAAAGAGTATATTTCTATTAAATTCTAATGCTTTACATTTAATGAGGAAATGGAATTCATCTTCAATTCCATCCTTGCAAAGTGGACAAATTCTCTGTTCTAAAGGTGTTCTAGTATATCTACCAACTTCTATTAGTAGTTTGCTATTACTAATTCTAATTTTTACCATTTTAGAAATAACATTTTTGTTAAGGTCCAGTATGAGATATTTTACTAATTCGTAATTATTTTTAACTTTGCAATACGTTCTTAGTTTATTACCATGACTATGAGTCACAAAAAAGAGCTTGTTTCCAGGATTTTATAAATTCCTCCTCTAATTTCTTTTGAACTGAAAAAAGTAATTTTGTCTTTGACATAGTATTTTGATTTTCCCAAACATGCTGAAAACCAAGTTTACCTATTAACACTTTTATTTTACTACAAAAACCATTAGACATGTTAAAGTTTTCACTGTATGCTTTCTTTTCCATACTCTCGCTATTCATATTAATGATATGAATCCAGAAATTAATTGTATTTTTAAGGGCTGACAATGAAAGTGGGAATACACCTAATTCAGCAAGTACAGCATTATTCACAGCACCTTTATTAACACCCAATAAAAATTTAGCAAATTTGATTTGAATCTTATTTGGACTAAAGTTTGCATAGTTTGACTTGATGGTAGTATTTTGTTTCACTAAACTAACAGTAGCCCAAACTTCACTGCTATATAATAAAATAGGTTTAACAAATGAATCAAAAAGCTTTAAATGTGGTAGTAAATTCATCTTTTCAGAATATAATTTTCTAATTCAAAATATAGCTTTGCTAGCCTTTTTAGATAACTGATCAATTGCTGTAGTAAAAGATCCAGATGGTTTAAAAATTATACCTAGAAACTTGTATTCATCAGTCAACTCTAGTAGTTTTCCATTATAATAGAAATTGTGTTTTTTAATAATTTTTCCTGTTTTATTGAATATTATAATCTTTGTTTTATTAAGATTAATTGATAGATTCCATTTATCACAAAACATATTTAATACATCTAATGGATCTTGCAGGCCAGATGCAGATTCTGATATTACTACTAAATCGTCTGCATAAAGAAGACAAGACACTTGTTTATCATATAGGCATGCTGGATCACATTTGTGAAACGTTTCAACCAGTTCATTTATATACAATGAATATAGGTAGTATTTTGTTTCACTAAACTAAAAGTAGCCCAAACTTCACTGCTATATAATAAAATAGGTTTAACACATGAATCAAAAAGCTTTAAATGTGGTAGTAAATTCATCTTTTCAGAATATAATAATTTTCTAATACAAAATATAGCTTTGCTAGCCTTTTTAGATAACGGATCATTTGCTGTAGTAAAAGATCCAGATGGTTTAAAAATTATACCTAGAAACTTGTATTCATCAGTCAGCTCTAGTAGTTTTCCATTATGATATATAGAAATTGTGTTTTTTAATTTTTCCTGTTTTATTGAATATTATAATCTTTGTTTTATTAAGATTAACAGATAGATTCCATTTATCACAAAACATATTTAATTAATCTAAAGCATCTTGCAGGCCAGATGCAGATTCTGATATTACTACTAAATCGTCTGCATAAAGAAGACAAGACACTTGTTTATCATATAGGCCTGCTGGATCACATTTGTGGTCAAACGTTTCAACCAGTTCATTTATATACAATGAAAATAATGTAGGGCTTAATATACAACCCTGTTTTAATCCTACACATGAGGGAAATGTTTGTGTTAGTCCCTCTTTTAATTTTACAGAGAAAGAGACATCTTTGTACATATCTTTTAAAATATTAAAAAAAGACCCTTTTATATTATATTTTAGTAATTTATGAAAAAGGTCATCTCTATTGATTGTGTCAAATGCTTTTCTTAGATCTACAAAACAAGTGTATAGCTGTTTAGATTTTTTAAAGGTCTGGTCAATCAGAGTTTTTAATGTTAAAATGTGATCACTTGTTCTGCTATTTTTCCTAAAGCCTATTTGCTCCTTGTGTAATATACTGTTAGTTTCAAGGAAGTTCTCCAACCTGGTAGATAATATCTTTAAGAAAAATTTACCTAAACAGCTAGAAAGAGCTATACCCCTGTAGTTGGAAGGATCATTAAAACACCCTCCTTTAAATATAGGCTTAACAATATTTTCTCTCCATATAGAAGGAAAGATTTCACTTTTAAATATCAAATTAAAAATCAACACATATGTTTTAACTAATTTACCACATGACACTCTAATCATTTCGTTTGTTATACCATCACAACCAGCAGAATTTTTTAACTTTAAGTCTTTTACAACCTTTAACACCTCCTCCTCAGTAATGCTATCATTTAAACAATCATTATTACAATCAATACTACTAATGTTTTCATCAAAATTATTACAATGTTGAAAATTCATTAAATTTATAAAGTACTTCGGCTCAACTGTAATATACGGTAGAAGTAGTTCCTAACCCAATTAACTATTCATACATCTGCAATGATATGAATGTTGTATCAAATATTATATCGAATCCTGAAACGTAGTCTCAAATGACAGACACATAGACACCTCGACACATAGACACCTTGACACATCGACACATATACACCTCGACACCTCGACACATAGACACATCGATACATCGACACATAGACACATCGACATATCGACACATAGACACATCGATACATCGACACATCAATACATCGAAACATCGACATATCGACACATCGACACATCGACAAATCGACATTTTAAATGACTATTAATTGTATATTAGACTATACTTCAGAAAGTTGAAGAAATAATATAATACATCTTTATTTTTTCTGTTAACCATGCCTACATTTGCGTTATTCATTGAGCAACTGGAATGTCTGACTAATTAATGTTCTTGTTAATCTCAATCTGATAGAATGACTGTAACTGGTGAAAAGGTAGCAACGTCTTCAATAAAATTATGAAAAATGTCACCATTTGAAAATCCAGATTTGTATCGGTACATGAATTCATCTAAATACATTGGGATTTTCGATGGTAATATTCCTTTCATCTTTTTCATCCTAAGCTTAGCCAGTCCCACAACCTTCTATTGAGTTGGTACAACACCCCTCATCGCTCTTGAACTAAACACTATGGTTAACAGACAAATGTTTATAACCCTCTTGTGATAGAGTATCGTACGCTGCCCATTTGTCGGAGAAAATGGTTGATCCAGGTTTTAAATAGCGCTTAATGATAGGAAGCAATGTATTACGATCTCTTTCCACTAATTGAAGAACACTGTTTCTTGTACCGCGCTCGGTTATTCCAAATACCCAATACTTTTGGTTTCCTGTTCCCCTATGATACTTCCGCTTCTTTCCGAATAAACTCTCATCTATCTCAACTATGTTGGTGTCAAACCCATCTGTTGCCTCACCAAGGACAATCGGTTTCCTCAACATTGCTGATGAACATACATCTCTAAATAAACAGTACCATGCTTTTTGACAAAGCCTACGACGTTAGATTGCCATTTGACACAACCAACGTAGTTGTATGTAGCCTACGACGTTAGATTGCCATTTGACACAACCAACGTAGTTGTATGTAGCCTACGGCGTTAGATTGCCTTTTGACACAACCAACGTAATTGTATGTAGCCTACAGCGTTAGAATGCCTTTTGACACAACCAAAGTAGTTGTATGTAGCCTACAGCGTTAGATTGCCATTTGACACAACCAACGTAGTTGTATGTAGCCTACGACGTTAGATTGCCTTTTGACACAAACAACGTAGTTGTATGTAGCCTACGACGTTAGATTGCCATTTGACACAACCAACGTAGTTGTATGTAGCCTACGACGTTAGATTGCCTTTTGACACAAACAACGTAATTGTATGTAGATTATACGGCGATAGATTGCTAATTAACACAGCCTACGGCGTAAGATTGATGTTTGTCACAGCCTACGGAGATAGTTTGCCAATTGACACTACCTACGTAGCAAAACAAAACAAACAAACAAACAAATATTTGAGATATAGCTGTAGCTTTTTGACATAGCCTACGGCGTTAGATTGCCCTAACATTAACCTTAACTTAGATTGCTCTTATACACAGCATACGGCGCTAGATTGCTCTTTGACACAGCCTACGGTGCTAGATTGCTCTCTGACACAGCCTACGGCGCTAGATTGCTCTTTGACATAGTCTACGGCGTTAAATTGCCATGTGAAACAACCAACTTGTTGTATGTAGCCTACGGCGTTAGATTGCCTTTTGACACAACCAAAGTAGTTGTATGTAGCTTACGTCGATAGATTGCTAATTAACACAGCTTACAGCGTAAGATTGATGTAAGTCACAGCCTACGGTGCTAGTTTGCCTATTGCCACTACCTACGTAGCTATAGTACAATTTGCAAAAACCTACGGTGCAGGATAAGGCTAAACCCTAATATGAACCCTAACCCTTACCCTTACCATTACCCTAACCCTAGCCCTAACCCTAACCCTTACTCTTACCTTAACCCTAACTTTTATTGCTCTTATACACAGCCTACGACGCTATATTGCTCTTTGACATAGCCTTCGGCGTTAGTTTGCCAATTAACACGGCGTAGCAAAACAAAACAAACAAACAAACAAATATTTGAGATACTAGTAATTCAAATGTCAATGTGTCGATGTGTCTATATGTCGATGTGTCGATGTGTCCATGTGTCCATGTGTCCGTATTAGCCATTAAATGTAATGCCCATTCACTCATATAATAACCCGCTGATGAGAACTATTTCTTCCGTATACTCCAGTTGATCCAGTACTTCAACCATTCATCATGTGAAATATTGGAGCTAGGGTCTTCCTTCGCTTTGTCCTTTAATAAATTTACAGATTTCCAAAATTCCGAAGGATTTTTCTCGGATAGGTCAAGTATATTTTTTGAGTATTTTATTTTTATAGACCCTATGTTTTTTACGTACAAGCTTGTTGAAGTTTTTTCTCTCTGTAAAAATTTTTAGTCTCAAACTAGAATCCCAAGGATTCCTACCTAAAGTTCTACAGAGAGCTTTTATATGCCTATATTTAACATCACAGACTTTGTCAACCCATGGTTTTTTAATTTTCCTTCTTTTTTGTTTATTATGCAGTTTTGATTCAAATCTGTTATCTAGGGTTGCTGCTCCCTTTAGTAATTTATTAAAATCAGAAACCACGTCATCCACTTCTGATGTGCTTTTATCGATCAGCGTTCTCACTTGCTATCAGCTTTTCGGCTTTTGTACAAATATTATAAAAACTATCATAATTTGAGTTTTCAATAAATTTTTGCTCTCAAATTGGAGACCATCTTATGACTGATGGCAATTTCCGAAGATTACATATGTCCTGTTTAGGGCCCATTATATTACTACAAAAAATGTTTACGGTTATTTGACAGTGATCTGAGTTATTTGGATGAAAGTCTTCAATTCTAAAGTTCATTATATTTGATAGGAATGTTGAACTACAGATACAATAATCATCTATTGAGGTTCCATGTATGAGAATCCTCACAACCTGCATGACCTGTTGATTTAGAAAAGACAAAAAAATTTATAAGAAAAATCATAGCAATTGTGTTATTATATTTTCAATAGAAGTATCATTTAATTTTTATCAGTATGATTGAAGCAATACACATGATACATGTTCATATATCACACTTACATGTACCCTTTCTTTTCCATAATATTAGATGCCAGGGGCAGATCCAGCTATTTGTAAAAGGGGGGTTCCTAACCCAGGATAAAGGGGGGTTCCAACTATATGTCCCCATTCAAATGCATAGATCGTCAAACAAGAGGGGGATCCAACCCCCGGATCCCCCCCCCCCCCCTTGATGCTTTTATATCTTCTAATATTGCCTAATTGGGTATAACAGGTACATGTATGCCATAGCAAGACTTTCAGGATACTTAATATTTTCTTATAAATTTTTTGGGCATTAATCAGAAGTCATTATATTTTACAGGCCATTTTTCTCTTTCAGTAAACCCTTTCAAATACATATGCTGTGTGTCTTTCAAAGCTAAGACTTTGGAAATTTGTTGACCCGAGAGACCTATTTAAATTTTATTCGTTCAGTAAAATCTGATGTTGGGTATATCGTCAATGAAACAGCAACCATACAACACAAATACTCACGAGACATCTAGGGGGCAACATAAATGAGTAAAACCCAATGTAGGGTATACATGTATGTCAATGAGATAGCAAACCAACAACAAATACCCATTAGACATCTAGGGTGCAACATAGAGTCTTTAACAATAGGCAGGTGTTTATGCATCTCATAGTAATCTCTTTGGCAATCAACACCAAATTCTCCAAATAAAAAAAAATACAATACAGGTGTTGTCACTAAATGTTTAACTTACATTGATATAAAAATAAGAGGATGTGATATGATTGCCAATGAGACAACTCTACACCAGAAACCAAATGACATAGAAGTTAACAACTATAGGTCACTTTATGGCCTTCAACAATGAGCAAAACCCATACCACACAGATTATTGTGTATGCCAATTCTCCCTTTCTTGTATTCTTTTGAGAGCATAAAAGTTCTTATTGAACTTAAGCAAACAACAATTTTTATATATATAATTGTTTAGCTCACCTGGCCCAATGGGCCAAGTGAGCTTTTCTCATCACTTGGCATCCGTCATCGTCATCCGTTAACTTTTACAAAAATCTTCTCCTCTGAAAGTACTGGGCCAAATTTAACCAAACTCGGCCACAATCATCATTGGGGTATCTTGTTTAAAAAATGTGTCCGATGACCTTGCCTGCCAACCAAGATGGCCGACATGGCTTAAAATAGAACATAGGGGTAAAATGCAAGTTTTGAATATTATTTTGAAAACCGTTATAAATAGAGAAAATCTGACATGAGCAGAAATGTTCAGAATGTTGAGATCTACCAATTGTTCATATACGTCAAAACTGTCAGACGACTTCTTATAGGAGTTATTGCCCTTAAATGACAAATTTTTACCATTATTTTTCAATTTTGCCTATTATCTTGAAAATTATAATAGATAGGGAGAAACTTTAAATTGCAAAAATGATCATCAAAACCAGTTTTACAAATAATTCGAATGGTCGAAATCGTCAGTCGACTCCTTATTAGAGTTATTGCTCTTTGATGACCATTTTTACCAATTTTTTGATTTTTTGCCGTATTTTATATCTTAAAAATTATAATAGATAGATAGAAACTTGAATTAGCAAAATTGATCAACAAGACAAGATCTACAATTTAGACATATGGAGGAAATCGTCTGACGACTCCTTATTGGAGTTATTGCCCTTTAATGAAGATTGTTACCATTTTTTTGCATTTTGCCTTATATGATAAAAATTATTATAGATAATATAAATAGACACTTTAAATCACAAAAATAATCAGCAAAGCAAGATCTGCTACAAGGTCAAATTTTGCCGATATAGTTATAAGACTGTCACTCCCTATAGGAGTGATTGCCCTTAAATGAGGATTTTTTACCCTCTTTTGTGTTTTGAGCAAAAACTAAAAAAGATAGAGAGAAACTAAACAGATGAAATGATCAGAGATTTTTGTCATGAATTCTATTCTCGTCTACAATGTTGAAGAGTGTCCTTTGTTGAATATGAACATAGACCAAGGTGAGCGACACAGGCTCTTTAGAGCTCTAGTTTTATTGTAAAATTGTTTTACAGAAACAGAAGCTAATCATGTAAGTAAGTAGCCTTAGAAGAAACCCTATTAGCTCTAGAGATCACCGTACAATGTAGATGGCTTCCAGTGGTAAACATTTGTTAGCTGATTGGGAAATTTTCTGTCCAATTGGTCCAAGTCTTGCCTTCCATGTTGGAGCCTGTATTGGTAAGATATTAAAAACATAAGGATATGTAGTATGATTGCAAATGAGACAACTGTCCACCAGAGTTCAAATGAAGTGGATGTTAGCAATTAATGGTCGCTGTATGGCCTTCAACAATGAGAAAAAAAACATACTGTATAGTCAGCCTAAAATGCTCTGGATTTAAATTGAAAAATGTGAAACAATTCAAACTGATGGCCTAATTTATGAAAATTCAATTAATATAAAACAAATATGACACACATGAATTACTAACGACACACACTGCTTTAAAAAAAAAAAATTTATAGATTGTTGTTTAATTATTAAGGGCATACAATACTGTTTTGATCCCAAGGTGGTTTTTTTACAAAAATATGCATACAAGCTATTTTTTACCTAATCAATTCAAATATGTCATAAAAAATAAATCTTCATGTGCTAAATTTAGAGATAAATGGGGTCGAAATTTTTGACATTTACTTAATAGTTTGGTTTCTTGGACATTTCTATCCTTTGAACAGACATACTTATCTTTTGTATTTTAAAAGATAAATACATGCAGTTTTTTGTAAGAAGATTTGGAATATCTTCGTTACAAAAGTAGGATTTTAAACTTGTGTAACAATTCTTTGTAAATGATTCATTTTTTAAAAAAATTTCTTGATTTTAGAAAAAAACAGCATTTTTTCCTGTTTATTTATCTAATTTTAAAAAAGTTACATCGGTGACTTCTTCATAAAAATTGGAACAAATAATCTTGAAACAATATCAAGTCAATTGCCAATTTTAAAAAAGAGGGGTCCATGTACTAATTATTAAAATCCCTCGAAAAAATGCATCTTTTCCCGATATGTCGCAGTTTGACGTCACAAAAATAACATTTTACATTAGCTATTATAAATTCAGAAAATAGTGCGTGCATTTATTATTGCGATTTTGTCATTTTAGACTTAAATGCCATTTTAGTTTTTACGATTTTGAGAAAAATCTTGTTTTTTTTTATAGTTCATATAAAATATTTCAAAATGCGAGTTTAAATTATTGCGTTTACAACTCTGTCGCATTTGTCGCAATAATAAAAACCTTGCAATAATTTCTGAATTTACAGTATGTCATTATCTCCCCTGTAACTGTATCATATGCCTTTAAGGATAAGGAATTAAATAGAATATTATTCATCATAATTAAAAGCTTTAAAATGATCTGACTTGTGTTTTGTTTTCCACCAATTTGTAACTATGTAAAATAATTTTGTTCATGTTGACTGACATATTTTAGAATTATGGCCCTTGAACTGAGGTAGGATTTGATTGATTTTCATATGATGAAGACATAATCTTTCAATCAGTTTAATTGAGGTCTGGAGCTGGCAAATTGTCAGTAACTGCTAGATAGTCCTTTGTTAATTTATGTATCATTGTCATTTTGCTTAGTTTCTTTTGTTACCTATTCTGACATCGGACTCAGACTTCTTTTGAACTGAGTTTTAGTGTGTGTTTGTCCCAAGTTGGGAGCCTCTGGCCTTTGTTAGTCTTGTATGTTTTTTAATCAGCTGTTTTCTGCTCATTGGTCAGGTTGTTGTCTTTTTGACACATTCCCCATTTCCATTTTCAATTTTATTAGGTATGCAAAGGCAACATTTTAAGGTATCTTGTCTTTCATATAATTCCCAGATATTTACATTTAATAAAACAATTAGGCAGCAGGAGGGGACATTCATGTCATACCAACACATCTAGTTGCATACCTCAGATAAGCCAGTCGTTTAAGACAGGAAAGGAATAAAAATGACTCCAAACATCCAATTATTATTTTAACTTAGAATGAATTAAGTCATTGGTGCTAGTCATATTATTATTGTCACTAATTCATATTTTCATATAAAATGTCTCAGTTGTATACATTGCCTTACTGATTCCAGAGTTATAGCATTAAGGATGTTCGCTACTCTGTTTCAAAATAACAAGCTTTTTAAAAGACTGTTATAAATTGATAGTACATAATTAAAGAAACTAAAACAGCAGAAAATATGAAGGGTACGTGTGCTTGTTTTCGAGATATAAGCCATTGGAAATTTGGCGGGAAATAATTCTCTCTAGATTTTTCATACATTTAACATTGGCAACTTTTTTCTTTCAAAAACTATGAAAAAATAACAAGGATTTTAGAAGATTTTGAAAAATGGCTTTTCAAACTATATGAAATAAAATTATGAAAAGAAAAGTACAGGTTAGTGGGCAAAATTTTTATTGGCATTACATGGATAAAACCAGAGGTTTCCGAATATCTGGCAAAAATTCAAAAACAAGAGGAGCGAACATCCTTAAATTGTTTTTTTATGAGATAACTATTACTTATAATTATGTGTATTACATTTTTTTCATATTTTTTTATAGGTCAATTTCTGTACGTCCATGGAGGTCGAATAGACAGAAACAGCATAGAGGCTTCTAATAAGCTACACTGCTTGAACTTTGATACCATGATCTGGAATGAAGTCCGAGTACCAGGGAGTCCTGCTTTAAGTCATCATGCATGTGTTACCATCGGAGATAGATATCTGCTCCTGATTGGTGGTTGGGATGGGAAAGCAAGAACATCGAAAGTCTTTGTATTTGACACTTTAGAATGCAAGTGGTTATATCCATCAGCTGAGGGGTTTCCATCTGATGCAGGGTTGAGTTCACATACTGCAACACTGTTAAATAATGGTAAAGTTCTAATCCTTGGTCGTGAAGGTCCGTTACGCATGCAACCAGATGACAAAATCCATGGTAATGCTTACATGTTGACTGGAAGTATAGAATCTGGAAAATTTGCCTACTCAGAATACAGCCGGGCCACAGAATCTAGGTCAGGTCACACAACAAATTTCATTGGTCCAAGATTATACGTACTTGGGGGTCGAAATGATCAACTTTTGGAAGTTCACAGTGGTTACAGAAGTGGGTCACCTGATAATGAAAAAGTAACAGAATCATTTAAAAAAATCATCAGAAGGCTTAAACCTATGGAGAAAATGCCTGGTGGACGCAAGCATCACATTGCCTTAGAATCATCTGGTGCAATACTCATTCATGGAGGGGAAACATTTGATGGGAGAAGTAAAATTGGAAAACCAGTTGGGGATATGTTCATCATGACAGACAAACCAAGTATCAATTTTTACAAAATTGGTGAGAGTAAAGTTGGGCGTTCAGGCCATATTTGTTGTGTTACCAAGGATGAAAATATTCTGATACATGGTGGCTTTGGTCATAAAATCATTCATGGTGATACTAGATGGTTAGACTTTAAAGTATAGATACTTACAGTGAAATATATGTAGATCATATCAAAAGTTTTTATAAACATACATGTACAAACTAGATTTTGCAACTTATTTTATAATTGTATTTGAAAGTTTATTTAGTTCTGGTACAAAATGTAAACCCAGGGTACTAGAATTTTTAAACTGTAAATAAGAACTTGAACATGTTGAATAATGTAATAGTTATGACAGTGTATGAGTATTCATCATCTTCAATTTTTTGCTAGATATTAAATACTGTAAATTCAGAAATTATTGCATGCATTTATTATTGCGATTTTGCCATTTTAAACTAAAATGCGATTTTAATTTTTGCGATATATTGAGAAAAATCTTGTTTAATTCATATAAAATATTTCAAAATGTGAGTTTAAATTATTGCGATTATAATCCTGTCGCAATAATAAAAACATCGCAATAATTTCTGAGTTTACAGTAAACTTAAAATAAATAAAAAAAACTACCAACAAAGCATTGAAAGATGCAGAATCATCTCAGATTTATTTGATTATTTGGTCATAATTTCATCTTCAGTTGTTTTTTGCTTTACCTGAACACCATTTTCAAAATGATGACATCAAATGTTTATTACGACCTATTAGAGCTAATCTTTTTATTTTATCTTATACTGTGATATATATAAAAACTCAGGGTACATATGATCTGGAAATATCTGTGATATACAAATATGTAGGACTCGGAGGAGGGATGGGGACACTGAAGTGTGATGGCTTCTTCACTGGTATGCAATAGTCTATATTACGAGTGATGGCTAGTTTAAAATCTACAGATTTTTTTAATAGTTATTATATAAATTTGGATTTCGTTATTGTCTATGTATGTCCTTAGTTACACTTGCGTACTAAATGAGAGATTATCTTCATGTGAATATAATTATGCTTTAACATTTTATCTTTGCTTGGTTCCTCTCATGAATTCCTTGTTTGCCATATTATAATATGGAGAGTCTGTCTGTGGACCTGTATGTATTTAGAAAATTCCACGCTTCATAGTACATAAAAAAAGAACCTTTTGTTGATTTTGAAAAATATCCTCTACAGAAGGTTATCTTTCCATGTCTTGATCTACCTATCTATTATCACTCCTCGTTTCTGTAGTATTCAAAGTTTATATACCTCTCATTAACTTAAAAACCTGAAAAACTGCTTCTAAAAAACAAATTGACTTTTACATCAACATAAAAAGAATTGAAATTATAGTTTATATAGTCCATCGCTCTTCAGTGTTACCACTATCTCACTTAGCATAGCCATCAACAAGATATTGTCACAATGCCAACATCGCACTTCAGCATCAAACCATCACACATCAGCGTGACCATCGGGGTTCAGAGTCCTACATGTATATGTACAATTAATTTTTATGTGTGTGTAACAATTGTTTGTCTTTGTAACAGATCAGGCCAAAAATATATATTTACTTGTTTCCTGTCTCCTGGCATAAAAAAATAATAGGGTAGGCTTTAAAGAGTTTAATTAGTCCCTGGTCAGAAGAAGATATCTGTTTACTGAGAGGCCCTGAATTATTTATAGGGTGAGATGTGAATTTTGTGTGTAACTTTTTTATCTCATTTACACTTTGTTTATAGTGTATGTCCTCATTTTTAATACTAGTCATTTTAATGTGTTACCAAAGTTAACAAAGTTGGTGAAGTGAAGTTTTGTTCTTAGATTTGAAGTGATGTTTTGTATTAATGTTGCTGAGTCTTGTATTGTTCATCTTTTTTGTTTTAGTGTTATTGTTTGAACAGTTTGTTTTATATACATATCAAGGATACGAGTAATCATTGTTGAATATATCCATCAAAAATAGTTTACAAATGCAAAAACTAAGTTGGACCTCATTGAAAATATTTTTTCTTCTAATCAGATATTTTTTCTCAAAGTGAATTATGTTAATCTTTTTATTTATGGAATCATTGAAAAAGTTATTGTCGTTTTATAAAAAACAGGATAATGCAATCATGTTTTTTTTTTAAGTTAATTTAAAAAGTGATATAAAACATATTTTTTGAAGTTTGGATTGGAGGTGGAGGTTGTACTATTCAAACTGATATAGCAGTCAAACCTGTCTATAAAGGTCTTCCTTTAGGGACGGACCCATGGTCCGATGAAAGGGGGCATAATTGTCCAAAATGGTAGAAATGTGTTTTTTTTTTTTTTTACAATTTCAAGCAAAAAAATTAAATTTTTTCCGATAAGAGAGGGCATATGCCCTCTACACCACCCCAACTCCCAAACCTGAATCTGCCACTGCCATTTGGACCAAAGGGAACCGATCTTGTAACAGATTTGATTCTTGAATTAAGGTTTAGAATGCATAGGCATTACCACACTGGGACAAGTACAGGGCAATAAGATAGGTTTTCACTGAAATGAGGTAACTTTTATAGCAGGTTTGACTGTGCATGTATTTTCCGTATATATTTACCTGTTTTGTAAGCTAAAAATGAACCAGGAAACATGAGAGAGTATGGATGCATAGCTTTTGAAAAGAAAAGAGAATCTTATTGTTTGTGATATTTATGGTCATATCAGAATTAATCAATTATTTATTTTGAAATGTGTTTTATCAAAAATAGACAATCTTATATATTTACTACGTATTTTTTTACAATCAATATTTTTTTGTACTTTTTCTCTTAATTTTACCAATAAAGTTTATTTTCTATGACTTTTCCTCCTGGCACATTTATTCTGCCCATCAAGTTTCAGTTAACAATATAATAATGGTAAGATTAAGATTTATATTGCCTGTTTATCTGGAATCAATGTTCGAAATTAAGTGAAACAAGATTTATATATAATGCATATAAAGTAAAAGAATAAATAAAGGCAACAGTAGTATACCATTGTTCAAAAGGCATAAATCGATTAAGCGAAAACAAATCCGGGTTACAAACTAAAACCGAGGGTAAAACATCAACTATAAGAGGAAAACAATGGAACAACAGAGTCAGAAACACTGAACTGCAACAAAAACAAACACCAATATACTGTGGATTCATTATTATTCGTTGGGTACCAATTTTCGTGGGTTTCGCTGGTACAGGTGAACCACGAATTTAAATGTTCCACGAAATACAAATTTCTATCAGGTTGCATGCAGACTTTGGCAAAACCACAAAATCACGTATCCACGAAAAGGAAAGTTTTCCGCAATCCATGATAATTGGTACCCACGAAAATAAATGAATCCACAGTACATAGGAACAGACTATGTGATAACAACTGCCATATTCCTGACTTGGTACAGGACATTTTAAGAAAAAATGGTGGGTTGTACCTGGTTTTATGGCTAGCCAAACCTTAATAAAAGAGAGGTGGAAGATATCAAAGGGATATTCAAACTCATAAGTAGATTAAACTGACAAAATTTTGGCACAAAAACCCAAAAAAAACGACAAAAAGACAAGCAACTGTATACAAAACACAACATAGAAAACTAAAGATTAAGCAACACAGACCCCAAAAAAACCCAGGGTGATCTAACAGGCTCTGGAAGTGTAACTAAATTCTAATCCACATGTGGAACCATCGTGTTGCTCAGGTAAAGGAGCTACCATTTGATTTTTATGGGGCTAGGATGAAATTTGAAAAAAGGCAGGACAGGAGTTTTGAGTAAAAGGCAGGATGAGCAACTTGTCAAAAAAAAAGGCAGGATAACAATTTATGTAAAAAAAGTCAGAATAACTAATAAAAAAAAAGGCAGGACCGAACAGAGTGAAAAATAAAAAGGCAGGACGGAGATTACCCAGTACAACTAAAAAAAAATGCAGGACAAAATTTTTCATCCTAGCCCCCCCCCCCCAAATAAAAATCAAATGGTAGCTCATTTAAGTACAAACTGGGTGATAAATCTAATTCAGTGATGTAACATACTTGAAAAAAAGTACAGGTTTACAGTTACTGCAATTGACATATATAAAAAGTACAAGTTTACAGTTACTGCAATTGGCATATATAAAAAGTACAGGTTTACACTTACTGCAATTGGCATAGTTAAAAAGTACAGGTTTACAGTTACTGCAATTGGCATATATAAAAAGTACAGGTTTACACTTACTGCAATTGGCATAGTTAAAAAGTACAGGTTTACAGTTACTGCAATTGGCATATATAAAAAGTACAGGTTTACAGTTACCGCAATTGGCTTATATAAAAAGTACAGGTTTACAGTTACTGCAATTGGCATATATTAAAAGTATAGGTTTACAGTTACTGCAATTGGCATATATAAAAAGTATAGGTTTACAGTTACCGCAATTGGCATATATCCATCATAATCTAGGAAACACATTTCATAACACTGTCAACCAACTTATGATAATGTTTGTAAAATTTTTAAACTGATGATTTTTAACTTCACCACTTGGAACTCTTGGTTTAATAGCTTCCTTGAAAGCAGGAACCTTCTATCAAGGAAATCATGATAGGAAGTTCAAGCTCTGGGAGATATTATATAAATAACACATAGCTGAGAGGGTGATAGAGCAGATTGTTACCCCAAGAAAACATCGTCAACTGAGGCGAAGCCAAGGTTGACAATGTCTTTTCGAGGGGTAACAATCTGCTCTATCACCCTCTCAGATATGTGTTATTTAATTCATTATCCTGAATGTTCTGTTATTACTGTCTATTAAATTTCAAATTCAAAGTAATAAACTATGATGTCTTGTACACAACAATCATCCGTATTTAATAAAGCGCACACTTGATCAAGCGTCTCCGTAAGGGTAAAAGAGTATTTGCCATGGGATAGAGTAAATTGTCTCCCTCGTATTAGCCAATCAAAGTCTGGCATTTTGACATGAAGTATAATAAAGTAAATTGTCTCCCTCGTATATAAACCCATCAAAATCTGGCATTTTGACATGACGTATAATAAATATATATACTCCATATGCAGGAGATGCTGGAATGTTGCTTCATAGAATAGAAGGTTTACAATTATGAAGCTGAAATCATCTCTTTTTTGTAAAGTTGTGTTTTCAACCCACCCTCACAGTCATAATAAAAGGCAAATCAGCTTTACAGGCTTTAAAAAAAAAACTATGATATACATATATAATATGGAGATGTGGTGTGATTGCCAATGAAACAACTATCTATCCAGGAATTCTGCCAGGGGGAGTGGGGGTTTGTAGTCACAGCGCTCTGACTTTAATAGTCAAACTTTAATCTGAATCTTGACTTTGAAAGTCTTTAAATAGTATTTTTTGTTTTCAGTTTTTGTTCAATCAATCTTTAAGAGGTCTGTACCATAAAAATGCTGCTAAAGTCACCTTTTACATGTATAGAAATTGATCTTTGCATTTTAAAAGAAATAAAAAAAGATCAAAAACTGTCTCCCTTTTCATCTAACATACATGAAATTGCCAGTTTACCCTGCTTTCATAGTGTAGCAGACTTGCGGTTGCCTATAATTGCTTACATCCACTGCATTTGAACTTTGGTGAATAGTTGTCTCATTGGCAATCATACCACATCTCCTTATTTTTATATTAAAATGTGATGACATCATGTCTTATTCAGCAGTTCTCTAAAAGGGTGGTATAAGCAAGCAAGTGTCATATGATATATACCTTTATGCAGTTGACAAATCAATGACTTGATATATAAGATAATGATTGATGCATAATTTGAAAGACATATAATAAACTGTACATTATATTAGTTATTTTCCTTACAATTTCTGGGGAAACTAAGTATGGTACGTTTATACAAGAAAACAAGATTTCTATAATATACAAGAAAGTAGCCATACATCAAAAGAATTAATTGTAGCGTAGTTTGATAGATACATGTGTAGCAGGATCTGCTTACCCTTCCGGAGCACCTGAGATTACCCCAGGATTTTGGTAGGGTTTGTGTTGCTCAGTCTTTAGTTGTGTATATACATGTGTGTTGTAAACTCTTGTCAGATGCTGATCTAGGATTTCTTTAAAAGGGGTGCACAAACTTGGCAACGTTAGTAGTAGAACATTAAAAAAAATCTATGCAAAAACCATATATGTATCCCCTTAAGGAGGCCTCCTGTCGCCTCCGATTGTTTGTCTTTCAGTGGTCGTTTTTTTTGTTTGCTTTTTTGCCATGGCGTTGTCAGGCAGGTAGATTGTCTTGCGTTCTGGGTTGTTTGATTTATACTTCTGTCTCATTTTTGACCAATTTTTGTAGGTAGATTGCTTTAATTACTATTAGTGTTGCTTGATAGATACTCCTGTCTTATTAAAGTATTTCTTACCAAGTTTTTAAGGTAGATTGCCTTCCGTTCAGTGTTGTTTGATTTATACTCCTGTCTTATTTTTTACCCAGATTTGTTGGTAAATTGCCTTCCGTTCAGTGCATGTTGTTTGATTTACACTCCTGTCATGTTTTTGATCCAGTTTTGTAGGTAGATTGCCTTACGAGTTGTGTTGTTTGATAGATATTCCTGTCTTGTGTTTTATCCAGTTTTGTAGGTAGATTGCTTTAATTGGGTTTAATGTTGTGTGATAGATATTCCTGTCTTGTTTTTTATCTAGTTTTTTTTATGTAGATTGCCTTGCGTTCAGTTTTGTTTGATTTACACTCCTGTCATGTTTTTGATCCAGTTTTGTAGGTAGATTGCCTTACGAGTTGTGTTGTTTGATAGATATTCCTGTCTTGTGTTTTATCCAGTTTTGTAGGTAGATTGCTTTAATTGGGTTTAATGTTGTGTGATAGATATTCCTGTCTTGTTTTTTATCTAGTTTTTTATGTAGATTGCCTTGCGTTCAGTTTTGTTTGATTTACACTCCTGTCATGTTTTTGACCCAGTTTTGTAGGTAGATTGCCTTACGAGTTGTGTTGTTTGATAGATATTCCTGTCTTGCGTTTTATCCAGTTTTGTAGGTAGATTGCTTTAATTGGGTTTAATGTTGTGTGATAGATATTCCTGTCTTGTTTTTTATCTAGTTTATTATGTAGATTGCCTTGCGTTCAGTTTTGTTTGATTTACACTCCTGTCATGTTTTTGACCCAGTTTTGTAGGTAGATTGCCTTACGTGTTGTGTTGTTTGATAGATATTCCTGTCTTGTTTTTTATCCAGTTTTGTAGGTAGATTGCTTTAATTGGGTTTAGTGTTGTTTGATAGATATTCCTGTCTTGTGATTTACCCAGTTTTGTAGGTAGATTGCTTTAATTGCGTTTAGAGTTGTTTGATAGATATTCCTGTCTTGTGATTTGACCCAGTTTTGTAGGTAGATTGTCTTGCGTTCATGTCAGTGTTGTTTGATTTACACTCGATCCTCTCTTGTTTCTAGTGTTATAAGTACTGTGAAGGTACTTTTGTTCGTGGGGTACTAATTTCAAATTCAAATTCCCAACGAAATGTAAAATTCCATTTAAAACTAAAATGCTCCAATACTATCCACGAATTCAAAAACCCACGAACTTAGCGAATTTTGAAAAATCCACGAAAATCAATATCCACGAATAAAAGTACCTTCACAGTATGTCTTTTAATACGTTAAGTGTGGTTTTTATATGCCTGTCCCTATCAGAGTTGGCTTGTTTTTGACATTGTACGTCCGTGCATTTGTTTTTGGTTTGAATGATTTGTATGTAGGTCTATCAGTTATCAGCGGTACTTGTTTGTTAGACGGTATAGTCGTTTGTTTTGACTTCTCTCTTAATTTGTTGCATGTTGTTGTT